TAGTTCCCTCATTTGTGATATCAGGATTATAAAACCCTACCCCATGGTTGGGCACATTGGCTCACACCTATAATCCCAGTGCTTTGGGAGGTGGAGGCAGGAGGATCACTTGAGGCCAAGAGTTGGAGACCAGCTGGGCAATATAGCAAGACCTTGTCTCTACAAAATTAAAAAATTAGCTGGGTGTAGTGGCTCATACCTATAGTACAAGCTTGGACTTGGGAGGATCCCTTGAGATCAAGAGGTTGAGACTGCAGTGAGCTGTGATTGTGCCATTGCATTTCTGCCTGGGTTACAGAATGAGATTCTGTCTCTAAAAAAACTTAAAATCTTAAAAAAATTAAAACCCTGCTTCCCTTGTGAAGGCCTTCAATGAGCTCTGATTACAAAGCTCTAGGCACAGTACAAGATGCATGGCAGATACTCAACAACGGGAGTCTTTATTGTCATGAGAACAGAGAGACTTCTAGGTGGTCATCCTGGGACTGGGAGAGACATGAGAACGGCATCTCTTGCATGGGTGGCCACTGCATGTTTTCAGCTTTGTATGTAGCATTTCAATTACATAATAAGAAACAGGCCAGGCACGATGGCTCACACCTGTAATCCCAGCATTTTAGGAGGTCAAGGTGGGAGGATTGCTTGAGCCCAGGAGCTCAAGACCAGCCTGAGCAACAAAATGAGGCCCTGTCTCTACAGAAAAATTAAAAATTAGCCCAGGTGTGGCAGCACGCACCTTTAGTCCTGGTTACTCAGGAGGCTGAGGCAGAAGGATTATTTGAGCCTGGGAGGTGGAGGCTGCAGTGAGCCATAATCACACCACTGCACTCCAGCCTGGGCAACAGAGCTAGACCCTGTCTCAAAAATAAATAAATAAATAAAAATATATACATGTGTGTGTTTTGGCTTTAAAAATTATTTTAGGCTGGCTGTGATGGCTCATATCTGTAATCCCAACACTTTGGGAGGCCGAGGTGGATGGATCACCTGAGGTGGGGAGTTCATGACCAGCCTGACCGACGTGGAGAAACCTCGTCTCTACTAAAAATACAAAATTAGCTGGATGTGGTGGCACATGTCTGTAATCCCAGCTACTCGGGAGGCTGAGGCAAGAGAATCGCTTGAACCCAGGAGGCAGAGGTTGTGGTGAGCTAAGATTGTGCCACTGCACTCTAGCCTGGGCAACAAGAGCAAAACTCAGCCTCAAAAAAGATTTTTTTTAAAAGGACATTTAAATTGACAAATGACCCAGGTGAGGAAGAATAAAGGTGATGGGGCATATCAAGACACAGCCTCTTCATCCCCTGTGAGCAATGGCAGGGCTGCTCTCTTGTCACTTTCAACAGCTAGGGGTCCAAACCCCAAATGTGAGGAACACCAATCTCTGCTCAAGCCCTTGAGAAGCTCAGGGAATTGACTCACCCCTGGCAGGCAGGGAGGGAGGGCAAGTGAGGACAAAGATTCCCTGAGGCTACCTCCTCTCTGGAAGGTTCCCCGGGGTCACAGCATCCCTGTAGCACAGACAGAGACAATAGGACCACAGTGAGGGAAGGCGGTGGGCAGGGAGCTGGGGAGGGATAAATAGTCCCATACAGGCTCCATCAAGCCCCTGGCTCAGCTGGTGTGGCTCCTTGCTGCAGCCCACACCTGGCCAGCTCCCACCTGTGGGGAAACTCCAAACTAGAGCCTCCTGCTGGGGTGAAGCAGAAGCAGATGCCTGGAGCCCCAGGTGAGTCACCTCCCCTCTCATCCACCTGACCAGGTGAGACCTGGGAACCAGCACCTGCCAGGGACGTGGAGAAACCACCTGTTGATATGACTCCTTTAGCAATGTGAGTCTACAGGACAGTGGGTGACAGGCAGATGCCACTCTCCACTTCTCTGTCAGTGTGCCGTTTGCTTAGCAGGGCTTACCTTCTTTAGAGCTCCTGCTGCCTCATAAGGTAGGTCCCTTGGACAGGTGAGGTAACAGGTGCAGAGAGAACAGAACCAATGCTCAATGTGACCCAGGGTGACTGTCTGATTCTTTCTCTCTTCCTTTCTTCCCTTCTTTCTTTCTTCCTTCCTTTTTCTTTTTCCTTTTCCTTCCTTCCTTCCTCTTTCCTTCTTTCTCTTGTTCCTTCTCTTTATTTTCCTTCCTTCCTTTCTCTCCTTTCCTTCTTTCTCTCTTTCCTTTTTCTTTTTTTTCTTTTCCTTCCTCTTTCCTTCTTTCTCTTTCTTTTCCTTCCTTCCTTTCTCTTTTCTTTCTCTCCTTCCTTCCCTTCTCTTGCCTTCCTTCCCTTCCCTTCTCTCTCCTTCCTCCCTCCCTCCCTCCCTCCCTTCCTTCCTTCCTTCCTCTCTTTCTTTTGACAGAGTCTCACTCTGTAGCCCAGGCTGGAGTGCAGTGGCTTGATCTCGGTTCACCACAACCTCTGCCTCCCAGGTTCAAGCAATTCTCCTGGAATTACTGTAATTCCAAGTTACTGGAATTACAGGTGCATGCCATCATGCCCAGCTAAATGTTTGCATTTTAGTAGAGACAGGGTTTAACCATGTTGCCCAGGCTGGTCTCAAACTCCTGAGCTCAGGCAATCCACCCGCCTCAGCCTCCCAAAGTGCTAGGATTACAGGCGTGAGCCACTGCACCTGACTGCCCGTCTGATTTTAACCTCTCTTCTTGGTCTGTCCAGGCAAGATGTCTATGGGAAAAGGGTTGGGAAGAGGCAGAGAAAAGAGAGAAAGAGGACTCAGGGTTCAGAGGCTGCAGCCACCACCCCAGGATGTGAAGAATCAGGGAGGGCTGGGTGAGGTGGCTTACGCCTGTAATCCCAGCACTTTGGGAGGCCAAGGTGGGAGGATCACTTGAGTCCAGGAGTTTGAGGCCAGCCTGGGCAACATAGTGAGACCCTGTCTTTACAGAAAAATACAAAAATTAGCCAGGCATGGTGGCAAGCTCCTGTAGTCTTAGCTACTTAGGAGACTGAGGTGGGAGGATTGCTTGAGCCCAGGAAGTCAAGGCTGCAATGAGCTGTGCTTGTGCCTTGCACTCCAGCCTTGGTGACCCTGTCTGAAAAAAAAAAGGGGATCAGGGAGGCATCAGTGAGAACAGGTGGTGAGGGGATAGTTAGGAGCTGGGGGATGAGAAGATAAGAGAAAACAGAGGCAAGCGGAGGCTTAGGTGGAAGAGAGGGGAAGCCAGACAGCTTCACTAAGAAGAGAGAGCCAGGATGGGTGAGAGGTGAGGCCAGACGGGGTCTCAGAGACAAGACAGGCCTGGCTGTGGAGTGACTCTGTCACGCAGGAGACATTTGACCGTGTATAAGGGCATCGCTGACTGTCATGACTGGGGAATGCTGCTGGTGTCCGGTGGGTGGAGACCAGGAAAGCCGCTCAGTCTCCTGCAGGACACAGGACGCCTTCCCCCGCCCTCCCAGAGAGAATGACCTGCCCCCAACGTCCCCAGTGCTGAAGGCGGGAAATCCTGCGCTAGGGTTGTGGTGGGCAGGGCTTGTCCACAGCCGCGCTAAGCCTCGGGGTCTCTGAGTGGAGAACTGGCCCCGCGTGTGCTCTTGTCATGCTAGACGATGGGCTTATGCTCTCTCTTTCTCCTCACCTCTTTCTTCTTTCCCCTCTCCGCCCTCTTTCTCCCTACCTCTCTTTCCTCTCTCTCCCCGCCGCCCTTTCCTCTCTCTCCACTTCTCTCTCCCCACCTTCTGCCTCTTTTTCTCCCTACCTCTCTCTCTGCACGCTATCTCCCCACTTCTCTCTCTCTCTCTTTCTCCCTACCTCTCTCTGTGTGTCTCTCTCTACCCACCTCTTTTTCTCTCTCTCCCCCCTCAACCTCTCTCTGTGTTTCTCTCTCCCCATCTCTCTCTCTCTCTCTCTTACCTAGAGAGGAACCCACTGGGTGTTCCGCTGGTGAATCAGTGCCCGGAAGCTCTAAATCCTCCTCTCTGCTAATCCTAGTCCCATACCCACCATGTGTTTGGTTTTACTTTTTAAAAGTAAAATTAATAGACTTTAAGAGCAGTTTTAGATTTACAGAACATTGAGCAGACACAGACTGCGGAGAATCCTCATATGCCCTCTCCCCGCTGCACACAATTTCCCCTATCATCAGCAGCTGGGGGTTTTATCATAAATCTGTTACAACCGATGAAACACTGTTGGCACATTGTCATTGACTGAAATCCACAGTTACACTGGAGTTCACTCTTGGGGATGTACAAATGCACAGTGTCCTGTGTCCACCATGACAGTATCGCACAACATAGTAGACCCTCTGTGGTCCACCCATTCATCCCGCCCTCTCACCCACTGGTCCCTGGAAGCCACTGATCTTTTGCTGTCTCCAGAGTTTTGATTTTTCTAGAATGACCAGACGACACTTAGCTGCATTCTGCATCCCTTCATTCCAGAGGGTGTTATATGCAGCCCTCAGCCACCTCCTGCAGGCGTGATTGGCTCCTGTCCTCTTAAGGTTCCTTCCTTCCTTCCTTCTTTCCTCCCTCCCTTTCTTTCTTCCTTTTTACTTCCTTCCTTCCCTTTCTCCCTCCCTCCCTCTCTCTCTCCTTCCTTCCTTTCCTCCCTCCCTCCCTTCTTCTTCTTTTTTTTGTTAAGTACTGTTCTTTATTCACAGTTTGGTGTTAAATGCTCTCTTTTATGAATTTAAGGCGCCAGGAGTTGTCTACTCGAACAGCATGCTTCATCTGGCCCACCAAGGCGACCTTCAGCCCCCAGTTCTTTCTCCTCAAATTGAAAACACAAATACACACACACGCCCCTACTTATTTCCTAGAATTCAAGCTTGCACCAAAGAGAGCCACAAGGATAGAAAGCCCGGCGGAGGTCACCGGGCAACCCCTCCGGATTCCCAGAAAGGGGATGGGGTCAAAACTCTCACATCTCATTCTGCCTCACTCAGTCGTCGCCCATTCCCAATTCTCGTGAGACTTCAAGCAGCGCAGCTTCTGCGCAGAGCAAGATACTGACAGTCTAGGCCCGGGGAGGGGGAGGGGAAAGGGGAGAGCGTGCCAGCGGCGTGGCCGCCATCTTGTTTGTGTCCCTCGCTTCCTGTGCGTCGGTTCTCTCCCATTCAGGCTTTCCCCTTCCTTCCGCCATGCCTGGGTCTGTGCATTGCCCTACTCCGCAGGAGCTCCTGCTGTTCCTGGACTCTTAAGCAAAGGCGTGTGAGTGTGTGGGAGCTTCTGTGTGAGGGAGGGTGAGAGGGGAGCGGCGGCGGGGGGAGGGGCAGGGCTACGGTAGCCCGGTCCGGTCTGCTGGCTGCCAAGTTGTGTTCTCACCAGCCCCGATGCTGTCGTCCTCGCCGCCGTGCTCGTGGGGCTCGTGCATCTGCTTTATCTTTCCATTTCTTTCTTTTTCTCCTCCCTTCCATTTTTCTTTCTTTCCTCCCTCCCGCCTTTCTCTCCCCTTCTTTTCCTTCCTTCCTCCCTCCCACCTTTCTCTCCCCTTCTTTTCCTTCCTTCCTCCCTCCTGCTTCTCTCTCCCCTTCTTTTCCTCCCCTCCCCTCTCGCCCCCTCCCCTCCTCCCCTCCTCCCTCCCTCCCACCTCCCCTCCTCCCCTCCTCCCCTCCTCCCCTCCTCCCCTCCTCCCCCTCCTCTCCTCCCCCTCCCCTCCTCCCCTCCTTCCCCCTCCCCCTTCCCTTTCTACCTCCCCTCCCCCTCCCCTTTCTACCTCCCTTCCCCCCTCCCCCTCCCCTCCCTCCCTCCCTTCCTTCCTTCCCTCCCTCCCTTCCCTCCCTTACTCTCTTCCTCTCTCCCTTCCCTCCCTCCCTTACTCTCTTCCTCTGTCCTTTCTTTCCTTTCCTTTCTTCCTTCTCTCTTTCTTTCTTTCTAGAAAGCCGACTGCATTTGCCTTTTATTACTGGATTTCCACGTAACCATTAAGTACATTTACAGTGTTGTGCTAACACCACCTTTGCCTAGTTCCAGTCAAAGGTAATAATTTTTTATTACCCCAAGTGGAAACACCATCTATTAGCAATCACTCCCCATTCTCTGCTCTCCCCAGCCTTTGGGAACCACTGATGGGTTCCAGATGCTACAAGCGTTTTCACTGCAGCATCGTTTGCAAACGCCAGCAGGTGGGGCACAGCCCTTATGAACAGATGACACATATTCATAGAATGGAAAATCTTTCTGCCATAAGCAGGAATAAAGCTCAGATACATGCTGTGGTGTATCAGTACTGTTACAATTGCATGCTACAGTGCAGATTAACCTTAAAACATATGTTTGGTGAAAGAAATGAGACACAAAAGGACCCATCTCGTATGACTCCATTTAGGTGAAATGTTCAGAACGGGCAAGTCCATAGAAGTAGAAACAGAAAGCAGAGTGGTAATTGGTTTATTTTTCAAATAAACTTTACATTGCCTTTTTTTTTTTTTTGAGTCAGAGTCTCACTCTATCACCCAGGCTGGAGTGCAGTGGTGCAATCTCGGCTCACCGCAACCTCCATCTCCCAGGTTCAAGCAGTTCTCCTTCCTCAACCTCCCGAGTAGCTGGGGACTACAGGCGTGTGCTACCACGCCCGGCTAATTTTTGTATTTTTAGTAGAGATGGGGTTTCATGGCCAGGCTGGTCTCGAACTCCTGACCTCATGATCCACCCTGCTTGGCCTCCCAAAGTGCTGGGACTACAGGCGTGAGCCACTGCACCCAGCCGTTGCCTAAATTTTTAAGAAAGAAATTAGCCAAGCATGCTGATGCATGCCTGTAGTTCCAGCTATTTGGTGGGCTGAGGAGAGAGGATTGCTTGAGCCCAGGAGTTGAAGGCTGCAGTGAACTATGACAATTGTGCCACTGCCCTCCAGCCCGAGTGACAGAGCCAGATCTGTCTCTTGAAAAAATAAAAATTAAATATATTTAAGTGGTTCATAAAGACACATATGGAAATCTCATGAAATTAAAGTTACTGAGCAAAGACCATGTATAGTCATTTACTGTATTAATTATATGTAGCATCTATTGCAGGCTAGGTCACCTAAGAAAAGCTCATTGACTTCCCACAGCAACCCTTTGAGACAGGGAGGGGGAAATGGTGGTGCAGAGAGATAAAGAAATCTGCCCAAGTTTACAAAACACTGGCCAGGTGCAGTAGCTCACTTCTGTAATCCCAGCACTTTGGGACGCTGGGCAGGAGGATGACTTGAGGTGAGGAGTTCCAGACCAGCCTGGGCAACATAGCAAGATGCCATCTCTCTAATAAAAAATAAAACATCTGCTGGATGAGGTGGTATGTGCCTGCAGTCATAGCTACTTGAGAGGCTGGGGCAGTAGGATTGCTTGAATCCAGGAGTTGGAGGTTGCAGTGAGCTATGATTGCACCATTGGACTGTAGCCTGTGCAACAGAGTGAGACTCTGTCTCTACAAAAATAAATAAATAGGTCAGGCCTGGTGGGTCATGCTTGTAGTCTGGGAGGCCAAGGCGGGTAGATCACTTGAAGTCAGGTGTTCAAGACTGGCCAGACCAACATGGAGAAACCCTGTTTCTACTAAAAATGCAAAATTAGCCGGCATGGTGGCCCATGCCTGTAATCCTAGCTATTCGGGAGGCTGAGGCAGGAGAATCACTTGAACCCTAGAGGCGGAGGTTGTGGTGAGCCGAGATCGCCCCATTGCACTCAAGCCTGGGCAACAAGAGTGAAACTCTGTCTCTATATAAATAAAATGAAAAAAATAATTACACAACAGTCAGAGGAGGGATTTGAACTGAGATCTGCTGATTCCCACATGCCTCTTTCTGTCTGATGGCTACATTTCTTTGCCTCAGAAGATAGAGGCATACTTCTTGGGAACTGCAAAACAATCAGAGCATGATTTTTGGCTCTTTTCTTAGTGCCACTCTGCCTCCTGCCTCTGCTTTCCTATATGGATAACCCCAGAGAAGTCATTGGTTGAAATTTAGGGGCGCACTCTGCTCCAAGGTGGTGTAGCCATGGGTGGAAACATCTCGTCATATCTGGAAGAGGGAAGAACACGATTTATTGGAAGGGAGTAAGAGGTCAGAGAGGAATGAATGGAAGTTCCAGTCAAGGAATATTTTTTTCTTCTTTTTTGAGAGAGAGGGTCTGGCTCTGTCATCCAGACTGGAGGGCAGTGGTGCCGTCATAGCTTGCTGCAGACTCAAATTCCTGGGCTCAAGCCACCCTCCCGCCTCAGCCTCCAAAGTTCTGAGATTAAAGGTGTGAACCACCACGTCAGCCTGGAGCATTTTCCTTTGGGGGACAACATAGAGGAATAGTGGAGGGTATTTTTTTTTTAATTGTACTTTAGGTTCTGGGGTACATGTGCAGATCATGCAGGATTGTTGCATAGGTACATACATGGGAAGGTGGTTTGCTGCCTCCATCCCCCTGTCATCTGTTTCTGGCATTTCTCCCCATGTTATCCCTCCCCAACCTCCCCACCCCCTGCTGTCCCTCCCCTAACCCCACCCCCAAACAGACCCCAGTGTGTGATGCTCCCCTCCTTGTGTCCATGTGTTCTCATTGTTCAATACCTGCCTATGAGTGAGAACATGCAGTATTTGATTTTCTGTTCTTGTGTCAGTTGGCTGAGAATGATGGTTTCCAGATTCATCCATGTCCCTTCAGAGGACACAAACTCATCATTTTTATAATGGCTGCATATATTCCATGGTGTATATGTGCCACATCTTTGTCCAGTCTATCATAGTTTTTAGAGCCAGCCCATTTATGGGTTCAAGTCTCACATCTACCATTTCAATAGCTTCGCCTGAAAGCTCCACACTTCAGTATTCTCAATGAGTATCCTCAAGGTACTTCAAAAGGGGGTTGAAAAAATAGTACCATTCTCACTAGGTTGATGAGAATATTAAATTATAGGAGGCCCAGAGTGGGAATGGAACCAAAGCCAGCTTTACCATTTGCCAAGAGTAGCCCCTTGGGCAAATCCAGGTATGGTGAAGGCCGAGAACCTTTCTTCATCCAGTAACTGACGTCTCCCTGTCACATCTCACCCCAGGCACAGACTCCATGCCGGGAGCCAATCACTCCACAGTGACCCAATTCATCCTCATCGGATTCTCTGCTTTCCCCCACCTGCAGCTAATGCTCTTCCTGCTTCTCCTGTTGATGTACCTGTTCACACTGCTGGGCAACCTGCTTATCATGGCCACTGTCTGGAGTGAGCGTGGCCTCCATACGCCCATGTACCTCCTCCTGTGTGCCCTCTCTGTCTCCGAGATCCTCTACACTGTGGCTATAATCCCGCGCATGCTGGCTGACCTACTGTCCACTCGGCGGTCCATCGCCTTCCTGGCCTGTGCCAGCCAGATGTTCTTCTCCTTCACCTTCGGCTTCACACACTCCTTCCTGCTCACTGTCATGGGCTACGACCGCTATGTGGCCATCTGCCACCCGCTGCGCTACAGCGTGCTCATGAGTCCGCGGGTCTGTACCTGCCTGCTGGGCTGCTCCTGGGCTGGTGGCTCTGTCATAGGGATGGTGGTGACCACGGTCATTTTCCACCTCTCCTTCTGTGGACCCAGTGAGATCCACCATTTTGCTTGCCATGTGCCGCCTCTGCTGAAGTTGGCCTGTGGCGATGATGTGCTGGTGGTGTCCCTGGGTGTGGGCTTGGTGTGTATCATGGCCCTGCTGGGCTGTTTGCTCCTCATTCTCCTCTCCTATGCCTTCATCGTGGCCGCCATCTTGAAGATCTCTTCTCCTGAAGGTCGGAACAAGGCCTTCTCCACCTGTGCATCTCACCTCACAGTGGTGGTCGTGCACTATGGCTTTGCCTCTGTCATTTACCTGAAGCCCAAAGGTCCTCAGTCTCCAGAAGGAGAAACCTTGATGGGCATCACCTACACGGTCCTCACGCCCTTCCTCAGCCCCATCATCTTCAGCCTCAGGAACAAGGAGCTGAAGGTTGCCATAAAGAAGACCTTCTTTAGTAAACTCTACCCAGAAAAAAATGTAATGACCTAGGAGAAATTCATTAGCACAACTAAATTGGATTACCAAAGGCTATTGCTAAAAATTACATTTTGTGGTGGCTAACGCCTGTAATCCCAGCACTTTGAGACTCCAGTGGAGGCGGATTACCTGAGGTCAGGGGTTCGAGACCAGCCTGGCCAGCATGGCAAAATCCCATCTCTACTAAAATTACAAAAATTAGCCAGGCATGGTGGCACATGCCTGTAACCCTAGCTACTTGGGAGGCTGAGGCATAAGAATCACTTGAACCCAGGAGGTGGAAGTTGCAGTGAGCCAAGATTGTGCCACTGCACTCCAGCCTGGGTGACACAGTGAAACTCTGTCTCAAAAAAAAGGAAAGAAAAAGAAAAGAAAATTACATTCCAGCTAAGCACCCTGGCTCACACTTGTAATTCCATTGCCTTGGGATGCCAAGGCAGGAGGATCGCTTGAGGCCAGGAGTTAAAGACCAGCCTGGGCAACAAAGTGAAATTTTGTTATGCTTTAAGATTTACAGGGGACCTTGTAGAGAGCATACAATTATAAACAGAAGGGTGAATCAGCATCAGGGAAGTATTTGGAGTGGAAGTGTGTGTAAGATACTAACACAGTGAATAACCAGGTTTGATTATTTCTATCTGCTGCAAGATAGGTGTCAGCACCAAACCTGTAATCTAGATTCCTCTTGCCAAAAGCCGCAGTCATCTAATACACCCAATAATACAAACCAGCAATGCAAACAGATGGGAGATTTCATGGCCCACTCTCTGTGAGTGCAGCACCAGTTAGCTACAACTCAGATTTTGTAAGGCTACTCCAGATTATAGCACAGGAGAGAAAGTGCCCTAAATTTCACCGCTGCACAGATCTATGCAATAGAAGTTAGAAATAGCAATAAACAGACTTTCTGAAAGACATCGAGGGAAACTTGGCATTTCAAGGGTGAATCTTGACTAGTTGTCGAGAGACCGAGATGTCTCCATAGATGGATCGAGGAAAAAGTCAACACTGTGAGATACCAAATGCTGTGTCAGAATGCTGTGACACGGAACATGGGCCAGCCGGGAGCTCTCTGTTGAATCAGGACACAGTGCAGACTGCAGGATGAAAGTTGATCTCATGGTCACGCAGGCTCACCCACTTCCCAATGGACAGGGATTTAAGATTGACCCACCTGTATAGTATTTAAATATTTATTGACAGTAGGTCTTTCTGTGTTTGAGCTATGCATCATTTTTTTCCTAAAGTGTGAATTCTCTTAATTTCGACTTAAGCAGTGAAAACATCCCACATTAGCACGAAGAGTGAGTATGTGGGAATCCGTTTCAATCAAAACTTGGAAACTCAGAGAAGCTCCCTTTGCAGAGTATGTGCCACAGTTCCCATTTCTTGTTACCCGCCAGACATGTCACGTCATTAGCGCCTCACAAGGTGGGAGTAGAGCAGATACATAATCACAGTCCCTGTGTTTGGTAGAGCAGGAAGCTGAGCCTCAAAAGACTCATGGCTCAGGCCAGGCACCGTGGCTCACGCCTGTAATCCCAGCACATTGGGAGGCTGAGGTGGGCGGATCACGAGGCCAAGAGATTGAAACCAGGCTGGCCAACATGGTGAAACCCTGTCTCTACTAAAAACATACAAAAATTAGCTGGGTGTGGTGGCATATCACTGTAGTCCCAGCCACTCAGGAGGCTGAAGCAGGAGAACCCCTTGAACCTGGGAGGCAGAGGTTGTAGTGAGCCAAGATTGCACCACTGCACTCCAGCCTGGCGACAGAGGGAGACTCCATCTCAGAAAAACACAAAAAACAACAAAACAACAAGAAGAAGCATGGCTCGTCAGAAACCACCACCCAACCTGGAAGAGCCAAGCTTCAATGTCAGTCTTTTCCAGATGACTGGTCCTTCTTCAAATGAAACATCTCAGCATCCTTAGAGTCTTTTATGGCACAGGGAGACAGCTGCAACCCACCATGCCCTGAAGTGCATCCTTGGAACACAGATGGAATATTTCTACAAACTCAAGAGTCCTCCATGATTTTTAAATAAGTTATAGTCTTGTAGAAATTCCTGAGTAACTTCTGTCCATTGAGCTCAGATGCTCCCCTCTCCTGACAACAGAGCCACCTGGGAAAGAACATAAGCCAAGTTTTTTATTTCCTTTGTTTAATAAAAGACCCCACTGGCCTCTGATCCTGCTTTTATCCAAATGGATAGAGACCCTGGAAAGAGGCTGTGGAAAAGAGGTTTCCATTACACTTGTATGAATGAACCAACATCTGTTTAATGGTTCTTTATTGGCTGGGCATGGTGGCTCATGCCTGTAATTCCAGCACTTTGGGAGGCCAAGCCCTTCTGGACCAACCCTCTGGAAATTAGGATCCCAATGTAAAAAGGCAATATGTGGCCAGGCACGGTGGCTTATGCTTGCAATCCCAGCATTTTGGGAGGCCGAGGCAGGCGGATCCCTAGGTCAAGAGATCGAGACCATCCTAGCCAACATGGTGAAACCCTGTCTCTACTAAAAATACAAAAAAAAAAAACTAGCTGGGTGTGGTGGTACGTGCCTGTAGTCCCAACTACTCTGGAGACTGAGGCAGGAGAATTGCTTGAAACCAGAAAATGGAAGTTGCAGTGAGCTGGGATCGCACCACTGCACTCCAGCCTGGGGATAGAGTGAGACTGTCTCAAAAAAAAAAAAAAAAAAAAAAAAAGGCAATGCATGAAGTGTTGAATGATGCCCTCTATGAGTTGGGCACTGGATGTCTTATGCTAACTTATTGTGATCCCTTAAGCTGCTACCTGCATGGGGTCATGAGTTTTGATCATCTCGTATGTTATCACATCCAGTACCAGCATGATACTTGGAAGATATATCAATTCTTAACAAATATTCCTAAAGTAGACTAATTTAATCTCACAACGCTGAACAATCCAGAATGTCGACTTATGTATTTGCTGTGAGAAAGAAACCTCATTGCCCCCCAGGGCAGTGGGAAAAATGTGTGGGGAGAGTCGTGTTTGACTGAGAAGGACCTGGGTTGAAATCCTGCCTCCTCGTTTCCACCAATTAGACTGACATCTTATAGACATATTCTATGTCGGTGTCAACAAAAGGATGTTTAGAGCAGTGACATTTATGATTGAAAAGCATTAGGTATACCCATGAATAAAGGACAGGCTTGGTGGGGTTTTGCTGTTTGTTTCTGTATTGTTTTTTTGAGACAGGGTCTTGCTCTGGTGCCCAGGCTGGTGTGCAGTGGTGCAATCTTGGCTCACTGCAACCTCAACCTCCTGAGCCCAAGCAGTTCTCCCACCTCAGCCTCCGATCTGGGACCACAGGCATGTGCCATCACAGCTGGCTAATTTTGGGATTTTTTTTTTTCTTTTGTAGAGATGGTTTCACCATGTTGCCAAGGCTGGTCTTGAAATCCTGAGCTCAAGCAGTCTGCCTGTCTTGGCCTCCCAAAGTGCTGGAACTGCAGGCATGAGCCACCATGCCCAGCCAATAAAGGACTGTTAAACAGATGTTGGTTCATTCATACAAGTGTAATGGAAAGCAACTATTAAAACTTTGTACCTCATCCAAGTCTGTTTCTCCCTGGGGGTCCCACCCAGCACCCTGGCTTTCTGTCCCATCTGCACACAGATGCTTCCCAGGTTCTTATCTTGATCTCTTTCTAACTGCCTACTCAGCATCTCCACATGGCTACATGGCAGGCATCCCAAACATAACGTGTGCAAATCTCTAGCTCTCGGTTATTCTCATGGTCGTTATCATTATCGCTCTCCATCTCTGTCTCTCTCTCTCTCTCTCTCTCTCACCCCTCTCCCCCACACATCTTCCTCCCAGCTTGTTTTCGATTTTGGTAAACAGTAACTCAGTCTCAATTCCTTGGAGACACTCTCAACTCCTCTCCTTCTCACACTCCCTGTCCTGTTCACTAGCATATCAGAGGTGGCTCTCCCTTCAAAACATATTCAGAACCTGGCTCCATCTCACCTCCTCTATTGCTACTGCCCTGGTTGAGGCCACCATTCTATCTCAGCTGGATGGTTTCTGTAACTGTCAAGCTGGTCTCCGTTCCACCACCCCTACTCTACACTATAGTCTCAATAAAGAGGGAGATTGAGGCTGTGTGTGGTAGCTCAAGTCTGTAATCCCAGCCTTTTGGGAGGCCAAGGTGGGCAGATCACTTGAGATCAGGAGTTTGAGACGAGCCTGGACAACATGGTGAAACCCCATCTCTACTAAAAATACAAAGAAAATTAGCTGGGCATGGTAGCGCACGCCTGTAATCCCAGCTCCTTGGGGAGGCTGAGGCAGGAGAATCCCTTGAACCTGTGAGGTGGAGGTTGCAGTGAGCCAAGATAGTACCACTGCACCCCAGCCAGGGCAACAGAGCAAGACTGTGTCTCAAAAAAAAAAAAAAAAAAAAAAAAAGGAAGGAGATTGAGCCTTTTAGATGTACATTGTATTGTATCTCCTCTGCTTAGAACCTTCCGGTGGTTCTCTGTCTCACTCACAGGGAAATCTGAAGTTTCTATGGTGCCCACAAAACCCTGTGCACCTGGGCCTTGCTGCTTCTCTGGCCTCTTCTCTTTCCCTCAGTCACTCTGCTCTAACCTCCCCACTGTCCCTCAAACACACCAGACATGCTCCTACCTCAGGAACTTTGCACATGCTGTGCCTGCTAACAGGAATTCCCTTCTCCCCACACCAACTGCCAGATGTCCACATGGCTTCTCTTTCACTGCCTAAAGCTTTCTGCTTGAATATCATAGAGTCCTTCCCCAACCACACTGCACAAAATAGCAAAACCCCTGGTCGCGTCATGTGTTTCTTGACATGATTTACTTTTGTTCTCATACCTAGTACCACCTGGCATCTCCTGCTTTTTGCGTGTCACTGCCTGTAACCACTAGAATGTTGCTTTGGGGAGATAAGTGACTTGTTTTGTTTTGTCCACTGCGGTATGCCCAGATAGGTTCTCAAACATTTAAAGAATGAGGGAAAAGGAAGGCAACCATGACGTACAAATTTTGTGTCCCCAATTAGAGTTTTCAAGTTTGTTAACAGGATGCACAACTGCTGTCTGTCCTTAGGCAGGTTACATTCCTTCTCTGATCCCACCTTGGAAGAAGGCCAAAGCCCAAAGCACCTACCTTCTAAGGCAGAGATGAGACTAAAGTGAGACAGTGTTTGCGAATGGCTCGGTACAGTGCCTGGCACACAGATACTCTCAATAAACACTAGTTAGGATCATGTCATCATTTCAAGGGTTGCTGAATGAGCTGGGACCAGAGGGAGAGGTGTCTGTTGGGGAAATGATCATTTGAAAGCCACCAATCTTTGAAGTATCCTGATAGTCAATGAGTCAGGTGTGGAAACTCAGCAGGAATCTGCAGTTCAGCAGGAGTGCCATGGGAAAAAGCATTATTCCAATTAAGCTCCATGACCTACCCCTCTCCTCCCAGAATTCCCTTCTCCAGGAACTGCCTCCTCTCTATGGCTCCCAGAACCCACGAATGGTCCAATGACCCACCATTGTGGTAACAGTTCACAGAAGTAGGATAGGCAACCTTTTGCTCTCTCAAGAGATGAAGACAAGTTCTGACCTGCCAGTAGGGCCATGCACTGGTTCAGCAATAAAGCCAACTGGTCTTGGGTAGATCACATTCCATCTCTTAGGCTCCGTTTACCATCGTTGAAATGGGTTTGATGATAATATATCCACCTCTGAGGAGTATGCTGAAAATTCAGTAGCATCATCTGTTGTAGGGTAATTGACAGTGTCTGGCATGCAGAAAGCAGGTGATAAATGTTAGATTTTTAAGGTCATTATATTTATTTGTTTTGGAATGGAGTTGGCTCTGTTGCCCAGGCTGGAGTGCAGTGGCGTCTTGGCTCACTACAACCTTTGCCTCCTGGGGTTCAAGCGATTCTCCTGCCTCAGACTCCAGAGTAGTTGAGATTACAGGCATCCGCCACCACACCCAGCTATTTTGTATTTTTAGTAGAGATGTGTTTTCACCATGTTAGCCAGGTTGGTCTTGAACTCCTGTCCTCAAGTGATCCGCCCACCTTGGTCTCCCAAAGTGCTGGATTATAGGTGTGAGCCACCATGACTTCCCTACGATTAGTATAATTATTTACGGCCGCCTTTGTTTCCTGTGCTAGTTTTGGGGGTTCAGAAAGGTGTTGGTTTCTGTTCCCAGCTGTTGAGGTACCATGTGTCTTGGTGCAGTGATACACAGAGAAATATCAGGGCTGTGACCAGGACATGGATTGTATTAGTCAGGGCTCTTCATAGAAACAGAATCAATAAGCTCTATATAGATAGATGATACATAGGTAATGGATAGATAGGTAAGTCGGTAGATGAATACATATATATTATGGGGGCCTGGAACCATGGCTCACACCTATAATCCCAGCACTTTGGGAGGCCAAAGTGGGAGGATAGCTTGAAGTCAGGAGTTTGAGACCAGCTTGGCCAACATGGCAAAACTCCATGTCTACTAAAAATATGAAAATGAGCCTGGTGTGGTGGTGTGCACCTGCAGTCCCAGCTACTTGGGAGTCTGAGGCAGGAGAATTGCTTGAACCTGGGCGGTGGAGGTTGCAGTGAGCCAAGATTGCACCACTGCACTCCAACCTGGGTGACAAAGTGAGATTTCATCTCCAAAACAAGAAAAGAGAGAGAGAGAAAGAAAGGAAGAAGGAAAGAAAAAGAAAAGAAAGGGAAGGAGGGAAGAGAAACAGAGGAAGAAGACTGAAGTGTTCCCATTCACTACATCTCTTGAGAGAAAGCCAGCCATTTCAGCAGTTCTGTGGAAAGAGTTTGGTGAAGAAGGTCTTCTTTATGGCAACCTTCAGTTCCTTGTTCCTGAGGCTGAAGATGATGGGGCTGAGGAAGGGCGTGAGGACCGTGTAGGTGATGCCCATCAAGGTGTCTCCTTCTGGAGACTGGGGACCTTTGGGCTTCAGGTAAATGACAGAGGCAAAGCCATAGTGCACGACCACCACCGTGAGGTGAGACGCACAGGTGGAGAAGGCCTTGTTCCGACCTTCAGCAGAAGGGATCTTCAAGATGGCAGCCACGATGAAGGCATAGGAGAGGAGAATGAGGAGCAAACAGCCCAGCAGGGCCATGATACACACCAAGCCCACGCCCAGGGACACCACCAGCACATCATCGCCACAGGCCAACTTCAGCAGAGGCGGCACGTGGCAGAAGAAATGGTGGATCTCATTGGGTCCACAGAAGGAGAGGTGGAAAATGACCGTGGTCACCACCATCCCTATGACAGAGCCACCAGCCCAGGAGCAGCCCAGCAGGCAGGTACAGACCTGTGGACTCATGAGCACGTTGTAGCGCAGCGGGTGGCAGATGGCCACATAGCGGTCATAGCCCATGACAGTGAGCAGGAAGGAGTGTGTGAAGCCGAAGGTGAAGGAGAAGAACATCTGGCTGGCACAGGCCAGGAAGGCGATGGAGTGCCTGGTGGACAGCAGGTCAGCCAGCATGCGCGGGATTATGGCTACGGTGTAGAGTATCTCAGAGACAGAGAGGGCACACAGGAGGAGGTACATGGGCGTGTGGAGGCCATGCTCGCTCCAGATGGTGGCCATGATGAGTAGGTTGCCCAGCAGTGTGAACAGGTACATCAGCAGGAGCAGCAGGAAGAGCATCAGCTGCAGGTGGGGGAAGGTGGAGAAGCCGACAAGGATGAATTCATACATGCAGGTGTGGTTTTGCCCCAGCATGGCAGCCACCCCTAGTCAGAGGAGAGGAAAGAAGAGCCAGTGGTTAGGAGCACGGGGTGTCTAGTGACTTTTACCTGGGAGGACACCTGAAAGCGCCTCCTTCATCCGTCCCAGCCATGGTTACTCCATCTGCAAAATGGCATATTATCGAGGTTTAAATAACATCACTCATCTTAAGTGCTTTGCACAGGTCCTGACACGAACTAGAAATTTAATAAATTATAAATACTGTTAATTATTCTGCTGTTGTTATTGGCATCATGATTATTTGACCCATGCACCACCGCCTGCACCTTGTACACCTTGCTTTTCTGCCTTTGTTCGTTTTGGTCTTTTTGTGCTTCTCCCTATCTTTATGGGTCCAAACCCTGCCAGAATTTTATGGCCAAGCTGCTCCCTGATTGCTGCCTTCAGCTGGAAGTCGTCTCTTTCTTGTGGCATGGAAATGTCCAGACTCTGTTTATTTCTCATCACCGCTGCTTTCTAGCTGTGAGATGCAAGGCAGGTTGCTTCCCTTCTCTGAGCCTCATTGCTCCCCTGGAAAATTGAAACTGCCTTTGCCAAATTATTGAAGAGGGAGACCCAGGCATCTCAGATCAACCTCCCCTTTTTCCTAAGACTGTAAACTTCCCCTTTTCATTCCTAAGACTGTAAACCAAAGCCCTTTTCATGTGTAATTCCTGAGACTGTAAACTGAGATCTTTTTCATATGTAATTCCTAAGACTGTAAACCGGAACTCTTTTCATATGTAATTACTTAGACTGTAAACCGAGACCCTTTTCATATGTTAAGCTATAAACCTAAGATTCTTCCACGCGTAACATCTAAAGTATAAGCCTATGTAAAGACGGAACCTTCCTTTGTTAGGCCAGCTTGGCTGTTAGGCAGCTATGCCACCTTGCTCCCAGCCGAATAAACTTCTTCCTCCTGTATTCGGTGTTGGAGAGACCCATTTCCCGCGGCTGCTCCTGCTAGGAAGGAAGTCTCGGATAGCAGACAGCAGGAAAAAGTCTCTTAGGTGGTTCCCCTAGCCTTGTGGTGCATCCCTGCAGAGGGACTGCTGCTCACCGGGGTGACACATCCTGAGAGCACTCCCGGGCAGGTATTTGCCTGGTGGAAAAGCCTCGCCAGAGCGGAGCAGGGAGGCCCTGCAGTATGGATCCACCCAGTGGCTGAACACCAAGGAGGAATGAGCATTTGGGGAAGTCCAGACAACTGAATTTGGTAAGATTGACCAAGGGAAAGTAGCCCACCCCGTGTTTGGTGGAAGCATGGCCTGATCACCCATGGATGCCAGATTTGGCACGTTGGAAGGTAGCTCCCTGTTGGAAGGAGAGCATTCGATTCTGTGTCTGTGTGTGTGGATGTGTGTCTATGTCGTCGAGCAATTTGTAAAAATTAGAGACAGCCACATAAGGCTGAGTGAAGAAGCCTCTGGGCGTTGTAAAAGGATTGAAGTGAATGTAAATTGGAAAGTGCTCCGTGCTGCCTCTTGCGAGGCAGGAACTACTGTGAGTGAGCTAACACTCTCCTAAGTGTGGGAATTGTTTTTTTGAATCGTTAATATGGCTCACTCCCATAGCCATTCCACCCCTTTAGAAACCATGCTGAAAAATTTCAAGAAGGGATTTAGTGGGAATTATAAAGTAACTATGACACCAGAGAAATTGAGGGTTTTATGTAGGGAAGATTGGCCAGCATTTAGGGTAGGTTGGCCCACAGAGGGGACCCTAGACAGCCCCTTGTCTCCAAAGTAAGGCATGAGGTTATATACGGCGAGCTAGAACACCTTGATCAATTTCCATACATGGACTCGTGGTTGCAGTTAGTGTTAAACCCTTCGAAGTGGCTAAGAGAGCAGGCAGGATTTGCATGCGTGAATACTTCCGTTATTGGAAGTAGCTAACCAGGCATTTGTAAACCAAGAGGCGGTAAGCCAGAGGGAAAAATCATAGGGAAAGGGAATGTCAGGCTCAACGGAAGGCTGACTTGATAGCTGCTGCTATGAGAGGAACGCCCCCAAGAACGTGGAAAAAGGGGGGTTCCTGGAAAGCCCCACAGTCTGCCTTCCTGCGCCTGCAATGCAATCAGTGTGCATTTTGTCAAGAAATAGGACATTGGAAAAAAATGCCCACAGTTAATGGGAGAACAGGGTGATCCTAAGCACAAGGATCCAGATAAAAAGTGAAGGGGCTCTGTTCAATCTAATGGAAGGGCCACTGGACTAAAAGAGGGGGGCCGGACTCATATGCCCCCACAGAGCCCACAGTTCGGACGACAACCCTGTAACCCCCCCACGGGAAGAAAAAACCAATATTGTTAGAGCTCAAGGTGTTAAGAGAACAGACTTTTTTGTACTTAATGGACTGCCCCTGCCCCCCTTGTCTGGCAAAATCTGTTGTGCAAATCGAGGGCCACTATCCCATTCAAAAGGAGACTCCCTGCAGTTAAAAATGCGTCAGGCAGGGGTCATCCAGGCTCTCAGTGTCCCTTGGGAAGGAGGGTGGAGCCTTCCTAGCCAGAAGCAGAGGACTGATATTATCGCCCAGGCCCGTGCAGGGCTTACGTGGCTTTGCACCCAACTCATACACGCAGTTGGGATTATTGCCAGCAGAAGATAGTTGGTTCACTTAATTGGACTTAAAGCATATCTCCTTAGCATTGGAGTGGCCTAGGAGGGTCAAAAACTATTTGCATTTCAATGGCAGAAACCCAGAAGCAGGTGTAACCACTCAATACACCTGGACCCACCTTCCCAGGGGCTCAGAAACTCTCTCATCATTGATGGGGAGGCATCAGCCTGTGACCGCCCCCCCAGAAGCTTCTTGCTTGCATGCTGCCCCCGTATGCTGATAACCTTCTATTGGGACACCCCACGGCAGTCGGGTGTGCAAACAAATGCCTTACTTCGGCACCTGGAGGACTGTGGGTATAAAGTGTCTAAAAGGAAAGCCCAGATATGCCAAAAAGCAAATGCAACATCTGAGGCTCACCTGGTTATTGGAAGGGGGAACGCAGCCTAGAAGCAAGCCGCTTGCCAAGTGACAGAACCTGGGATTAAACAGCAGGCGAGAGAGCTCCTGGGAGTGGTGGGTTTTGTAAATTGTGGATTTCCAAACTTCACAGTACTAGCCAAACCCCTCTATGATGTGACAGAGCGGGGAGACAAGGAGCCCTTTGAATGGGGATCCCAGCAGCGTCAGGCTTATCAGGAACTGAAAACAAAACTGATGTCAGCTCCAGCTTTGGGGCTGCCTGATTTAACAAAGCCCATCACATTATATGTGGCAGAAAGAGAAAAAGTGGCAGTTGGGGTCCTAGTCCAAACAGTAGGACCTTGGCCCAGGCCTTTAGCTTACCTGTCCATGCAGCTGGATGGAGTTTCCAAAGGATGGCCCCCATGCTTAAGGGCCCTGGCAGCAACTGCTCTGCTAGCACGAGAAGCAGATAAGCTAACTCTGGGACAGAGCCTAAATATCAAGGCACCTCACGCAGTAGTGACTCTAATGAATACCGGAGGGCACCACTGGTTGTCAAATGTTAGGCTGACCAAATACCAGGGCCTGCTATGTGAAAATCCCCACATCGCGATTGAAGTCTGCAACACCTTAAACCCTGCCACTTTGCTCCCAACATCAGACGGTCCCGTTGAACACAACTCTGTTGAAGTCCTGGACACAGTCTATTCCAGCAGGCCTGATCTTCAGGACCAGCCATGGACAGTAGTAGACTGGGAGTTGTATGTGGATGGGAGCAGCTTTGTCAATCCATGAAGGGACAGATGTGCAGGCTACACCGTGGTAACTCTGGACACTGTAATCAAGGCTGAATCCCTGCCTCAGGGCACCTCAGCTCAGAAGGCTGAACTCATCCCTTTAACTCAAGCCCTAGAGCTGAGTAAAGATAAGGTTGTAAACATTGACTCTGACTCTCGATGTGCCTTCCCGACTCTCCAAGTACATGGAGTTCGGTACAAAGAGAGAGGCCTGTTAACCAGGGGGAAAAGAAATAAAGTATCAGCATGAAATTTTGCAGTTGCTAGAAGCAGTCTGGAAGCCCCGGAGGGTGGCGGTCGTGCATTGACAAGGACATCAGTGGGCCCACACCTCCGTGGCCCTGGGAAATTCCCGAGTGGATTCAGCAGCTCATAAGGCAGCATCTACCCCCTACCGAACGGCAGTTACAGCCCCGCTGATTCCCCAGATCCCTGATCTAACACCTACTTACTCTAAGGTGGAAAGAGACTTTCTCCGGACAGAAGGGGGGCAACTGATTAAAGAAGGATGGATCCGACTGCCAGATGGAAGAATAGCAGTACCACAGCTGCTGGGGCAGCAGGCGTACAAGTCATACATGAGACCACTCATTTAGGTCAAGAGTCGCTTGAAAAGATGTTGGGCTGGTACTTTTACATCTCACACTTACCAGCCTTGACCAAAACTGTGGCACAGCGATGCATTACATGTCAGCAACACAACTCGAGGCAGGGTCCAACTATTCCCCCTGGAATTCAAGCTTATGGAGCAGCTCCATTTGAAGATCTCAAGGTAGACTTTATTGAAATGTCCAAGTGTGGAGGACATAAGTATTTGTCGGTCCTGGTGTGCACATACTCTGGATGGGACTGAAAGAGCCCATGAAGTAACCTGTGTGCTGCTTCGAGATCTTATCCCTAGGTTTGGACTGCCGGACTGCCACTGCACATCGGAGCAGACAGTGGACCAGCATTTGTGGCAGATTTAGTCCGGAAAACAGCAACAGGCTTGGGATCACCTGGAAACTGCACACTGCCTACCGACCTCAGAGTTCCGGAAAAATGGGAAAAAATGAACAAGACTATCAAAAACAGCTTAGGGAAAGTGTGTCAGGGAGCAAGCTTAAAGTGGGTGCAGGCATTTCCCTTGGGGTTATTCAAAATTAGAGGCACCCCCTTTAGGAAAAACAGTATATTCCCCTATGAAGTCTTATACCATAGGCCCCCTCCCCTACTCTGGGCACTCCTAGGAACTCCTCGGGAATGGGGAGAGATTGAGTTAGGATGCTAGTTATCAGCTCTAAGGAGAATCGCTTAGGTTACCTCAACCTAAG